CCAAAGATCGTGCGGCCGCTCCGCGCGCGTGCCCGATTGGTGAGGCACGCCCGCCTTCTCCCCCTTCGCCTGCAGGCATCCACCACAAGACTGCAGGAANGCGCCTCATCCCGTACAGCTTCATCCACCGCGAGAAGCTGTCCACGAACATAATCATGAAAAACGAACCCCCCAGCGAGGCCGTCATCGGCCCACACAGATCGATGTGCCAAAGATCGTGCGGCCGCTCCGCGCGCGTGCCCAATTGGTGAGGCACGCCCGCCTTCTTCCCCTTCGCCTGCAGGCATCCACCACAAGGCTGCAGGACACCGGTCAGTCGGAGACCGTGCTGCTTCGCAAGCTCACGCAAAAGAAACTCATTGGCGTGGGAAGACGAAACATGGAGAAGGATAACGTCAACAATCTTGGTGGGTTTCCCCACCGAAAAAGGGCGCTTGCCCGGGGCCATAACGGGAACGGCGAAAGCAACATCATCGAAGACATTGGCAAATCCAGACTCAAACATCAAGTCTAAAAACTCGTAGGGGTCATCCGATTCTTGTCTCTGTTCTAAGAGGTACAAAGCCCACTCGTAATCTCCCTGCTCTGTGAACGGAATAAACCCACGGTCATCATCCTCACTATTCTCTTGAAAAACGGTGACGTCCGGCGATGGCAACCCGGGAACAGCTACCAACTCCATACCATGCGGCACTTGAGGAGCGTAGGGAAAAACCACACTCCTGTCAGCGGGGATGGGGGCATACACTGTTGAAGGAACGACGCTGCTCGCAGCGGGCGGGATATTGGTCACAGACAATGGCACTACGCTGTTTGCAGCGGGCGGGAAACCATACACCGTCGAAGGTACTACGCCGGCTGCAGCGGGCGGAAAATTCGACACGGGGGCATATCTGTGGGCGGTGTCACCAGAATGTACTACGCTGTTGGGAGCGGGCGGGAAACCAGAGACGAGGGTCGGCACAACGCTCGTCGGAGCGGATGCAGGCACGACACTGCTGACAGTGGGCGGGAACCTAGACACCGTTGGAGGTACTACACTGCCGGCGCTGGCGACAGTGGGCGGGACACGAGAAAACGGGGAAGAGGGCATGTACGCTACACCTTGGGGAGAATGCTGCATGCGGGGGATTGCATGCATCGTTGCAGCACCAGTCACACTCACAACGTCTGCAGAGCGAGGGGGAGTCGGGGGGAACGGCGTCACCACGGGCACAGCAATTGGCGTCGTGTAGTCGGGCGGTAGACGAGTCGCTGTCAATGATGAACCACGCTCGCCACGGGGAAAAGTTTATCCACCGTTAAACAGGTGGATACCTATAGGATCCATCTTAATGCGTTGCCCTCCCATGGCCTTGTGAAGCGAAAACTAATTGTATCTCATTCCCTCAACGGGATGCACGTTGGTGAGCTTCACGCAAAAGTCGCTTCCACCATTGTGGAACTTGACGTTCAGGCTGCCGATACCAAGCACAGGCATCGTCCTACCATCTCCAATCATCACTCGCTCTCTACCAGGCGGAGGAATCACCACATCGTACATGCACCTCGGGTCACCTGTGGTGTGGTTCGTGGCGCCAGAGTCTGCAAGCCAAGTTTCATCTCCTACACTCTCATCAAGGACGTTCATCATGGCATATCCGTCGACCCTTCGCTCTACTAGCACACCATTCTCAGACTCTCTTGGAAAAGCCCACACCACACACGCATGTAAATCCCCACCAGTCGATGGAGACGCTCCGGTCGAAGGCGCCGGAGGAGCGTACGGGTTGG